GAAGCTCTCCTTCAGGGGTCCTCTCCCTCGGGAAGCTCTCCTTCAGGGGTCCTCTCCCTCGGGAAGCTCTCCTTCAGGGGTCCTCTCCCTCGGGACGCTCTCCTTCGGGGTCCTCTCCCTCGGGACACTCTCCTTCAGGGATTCTCTCCCTCAGGAAGCTTCTTTGAGCCTCAGCGTTCGCAACTTTTGTTGGCCAGCCCACACGCTCATTACTGGTTACCAGGTGGGCTCCCAGACCATCTCCCACTGTTAATATAAACCCTCAGGTGTGGCCATCGTAGCTCAACTACTCAGAAGGGTTGTTTCACAAAGATCAGAGACAAAGGCCAAATTGCTTGAGGTGAAGTAACTCTTAACTGCACACAGGCAGTGATCAAGTGGAACTTGAGAACTCTGAGTAGAGACGGTGGAGTATGCGAAAAGCAAAACTTACAGACAGACCGCCATGTCCCTCCCTTTAGAACCTACATCTGGGTGTGGTCCCAAGGAAAGTTCTAGTAAACGCCACTGCCTCATATATAAAAATGCCGTGAGCTTTATTTTATGAGGAGTAAAAAAAAGCACAAGTGTGTGTGTGGCAGGGCATGGGGTGGGTTCCGGTAACGGTCTGCTCTTCTGCTCTATGCCCTCATATGCATACCAGTGAGTTTCAGAATCAGCCATGTACCTGCAATTTGCTGCGAATAGAAAAGATTTAAAGCTTTAAAAATATTTTGAATGGTAAGTACTAACACCCAGACTTTTCCTACCGATGGATAACCTGCTTTGGAGTCTCTCTGTGAATGGGTTCCGAGAGAACCAAGGAATCAGGTCTTGTCTTGTGTCTACAAAGTTAATATGAAAGCCCAGTTTCATCCTGACCTCGCATAAGAAGTGAGGGCGGTGGAATGTACTTGATAAGCGGGAGATGCTCAAAGGCCTCTGGCCTCCTCCAGGGCTGGGGTCTATAACCACAGGTGGACGAGGGAGATTGGACAGAGAGGGACACCTGAGGGTGATCCTTGGCATCTAAGAGGAATCCAGACAGTGTCTGGGTCTGTTTAAATCACGGTTATAATTGTAGTACTTGAGGAACACTGTGGATGGATGGATTATTGTATCCTGCAAAAAAGAATCTGGTTCAAGAAAAGCAGCGTGTAGGGTATTGAGGAAATGCTTGGCAGTTTAGAGGGGCTGGCAGTCCTCTTCAGAGTCCAGGTGTGTTGACCAGCATAGGGTTTCTGCTCTTGAGTATCCTCTGGTCCCAGGATGTACGTCTTTGGAAGCTAATAGCTTCCTTAGCCTTTATGAGGATTGATGGTGTGCCAGGAGGCCCTGGAAGGCCTGCGGAGTCATGGATGGGAAGGATCTTCAGGAAAGAGAAGGCTTTATCTAAAACCCTGATTCCAGGTCACCTAGAAGACTAGCTGAAGGCTTTACTTTTGCCTTTAGCCCTGGCCACCTGCCTACATGTGTTCCCTCAGTTTCTTTTCCATCCACTTGATAGGAAAAAATTTGTTGAGTTGTTGTTTGAATCATAGTCACTGTAACACCGAGTGGGTGAACGAGAGGCAGACTCACATGATCCCATGAGGGGCCTTCGCTGCTGGATGATAAGCCAAAGGACTGGCCACGTCAGTCTGTGAGCCTGTCATTTCATTGTTCCCTTGCAGCGGTTCAGATAGCAGTCACATCTTTTCTTCTTTGTGTGCCTAATGCCTAGCAAGAGCTCGGCAAACGTTTGTTGAACACTGAAGGCATGGAAATGGAATAATGTTGATATTCTTAGGGTTGGGGACTAGATGTGGGGTCAAGGGATTCCCATCCCCAAACTCTGGCACAGATTAGTCTTGTGGATTGAAGGGAGGTGTTCTGCAACGAGCCAGGCAGGTGAACTTGCTGAGCCTTGTATGATTCTGGTGGGGACGGTGAGTGAGTGCAGGGACCCTGAATCCTGGGAGGTCAGAAGATCAGTGGTGGTCAAGGACATTAGGGAGACTCTGATAAGTGAGCTAAGTCAATACCATGGGGAACAGTAACTGCCAAGAGGGGGATCAGAAAATCAAAATGGACCGAACCAGGATACAGCTGCCACAGGTACAGGGAAGATCTGAAGTTAGATCCCAAGGTCTAGAGTTAGTCAAAACTGTTGCAGTGTTTAAGATTGTGTGAGGAATAAGACAGAATTTTGCTAGACCTCTAGCTGCTGTTCTGGTTGACTTTCATTTTTGCTCCCTGGAAGAGTGGAGATTTTTATACTTGGAGGCCTTAGGGAAGAGAGGGCACTCAGAATAGACCAGCTACTCCGAGTCTGTCTCTTCCTTTCCCCCAGACCTGGGGCCGTCAGGGTGTGGAGGACTTTTTGGCCTGGTAGGATACAGGTCACCAGCGTGAAGCTGCAGAGCAAATGTCCCAGGCATGGCCAGAGGGTTATCGCAGAATAATACATGTCAATGAATACATAACAGCTTCATTATATTTTATGTAGTATGAAGTGGCAAGAGTTTTGTTTGTTTGTTTTTATTGTACTTTAGATGAAAGTTTACAGAGCAAGCTAGCTTCTCAGTAAACAGCACACATACTGTTTTGTGACATTGGTTACCAACACTACAACATGTCAACACTCTCCCTTCTCGACCTTGGGTTCCCTATTACCAGCTTTCCTGTCCCCTCCTGCCTTCTAGTCCTTGCCCCTGGGCTAGGGTGCCCATTTAGTCTCATTTTGTTTTATGGGTCTGTCTAATCTTTGGTTGAAGGCTAAACCTCAGGAGTGACTTTAGTACTGAGCTAAAAGGGTGTCCAGGGGGTGAAGTGGCAAGAATTTTTGACTCACTCCAAAAAAGCTGAATGGAACCCAGATATTTTCCAGTAATTGCATGTACTGTTTTAGCAAATTCAGTACAAACCAGCATTTATTGAAATGCTGGTCACTGAGGCAGCTGCTCCTAGGCTGAATGCCGCTGCTGGTTAAAGACTGGCTCTTGCCCTCGAGGAGCTCAGAGTTACTTACAATCTGGTTAAAGAGTGAGGATTCTCACCAGGATGAGTCATGCAACCTCCTGGGCCCAGCTTTTGGTCAGCAGTGCCAGTATCAGGAGGCAGGAGCTTGGATGGTTGGGGGAACCAAGGAAGTGAAAACAGAGCTCTCCTTTGAGCACCTTCTCTGTCTGTCCCATGATCTTGCCTTCACAGTTCTGGGGCTCCCCTCTGGTGACCGGTTTTCCCATGATAAGCCAGCATAGCAGAGTGGTTAAAAGGAAGGGCAGAAGTTCAGAGGTCAGGCAGCCTATGTTTACTAATGGTGAGACCCAAGTCTATTAGCCTCTCTGACTCTCAGTTTCTTCATCTGTAGACTGGGCACGATAACACTAACTCATGTTCCACATGTGAGTGTTGAATAAAATAATTCACATTAGCGTTATCATCCCAAACAGCAGATAACCCCAAAGCCATTTACACCTAGCTTTGGAAGGCATTTTGCCAATTTTGGGGGGATGGGGATAGGTATCATATTTATCTTCCTCTCTGTTTTTCTAAATGTCATCATGTGAGCAGAAAAGACAGGCAGAAAGGCAGTGTGCAGAGAGTGAAGGTGGAATAGGTGGTCTCGATGTAAATCATGTCCCAGGAAATCTGCACCACAGATAATGGAGAGTGGACTGAAAACGTGTGCGGTTTTGAAGGCGAGTGATGAACTTAGTGAATAGTGAACAACCCCATAACATTAATAAAGAAAAGGAAATCCTAACTCACTGCTGGTGACAGCAACTTGTAGTCTGACGAAATCTCAAGGTAGAAGCATCTCTGCAGAAGGATTTCAGACTCTTGAGTTACTGCCAGAGCAAAGAAGCTGAGTTTGCGTGAGGAGCAACAGAGATGCGTGGGTGTCAGAAGCTCCAGCAGTCCACCCTGAGATATTTGTCTTCACGTCTCTATTGATGTACCATACCCCAGAAAGTACTGCCTGTGTCTGTTCCCCTGTCTCAGACCATGTGTGATTTTAGATCCTCATGAGAGCATCAACCCGCCCCCATACTAGACTTGGGCACTGATGCAGCTTGGAAAACTCTCATTAATAAAAGTGCATCTAGGTGGGAGCCTATTTAGTACATCTTATACAATGTAATGTTCAGCACCAGGAAAAGAATGAGATAGAATGCATTCGCTGGAAGTGTAATAAAAAACGTGACTTTCCCGTTAACCCAGAACCAAAAAACCCACTGCCATGGAGTCAATTCTGACTCATAGCAACACCAGAGGGTTTCCAAGGCTGTAAATCTCCAGGGAGGCAGACTACCATGTTTTTCTTCCGCAGAGCCACTGGTGGTTTTGAACCGCCAGCATTTCAGTTAGCAGTCAGTCGCTTTAACCCCTGTGCCACCAGGGCTCCTTAATAATACTAAGTAATCTGGAGAACATGATTTCTTCATTCATCCCAGGTGACTGGCTGAGAGCGATCTAAGAAATTTACGACACCCTCCAGTCTTTACCTGCCCATTAGGCTACTTTTTAAAATTAAGGAGTTAGTGTTGAAAGACCTGGGCCATGGGTTGGGAGGGTGCTTTTCTGAGCCAGGTTTGAGGATAGTTGCTGAAGTAGCCTGCTCTCAGCATTCACTCTGGCTTTCTCGAAACTCCCAGTCTGAGCCCTCAGCCACCCCTGTCCCCACCTGCCTCCTGGGCACACAGTCCGTCCCATCTGATTCAGACGGAACATCCTAACCAGCTAGGGAACCATGAGCCCACCCCTCCATCTGCCTGCTGAGTTTAAGTCCGAAGTTTGAAGTCGAGGTGAGAATGTTAACTCTTTACCTTCAGCTAACAGGGGCTTGGAGCCTTGGTGACGTAGTGGTTAAGAGCTTGGCTGCTAACTGAAAGGTCGACAGTTTGAATCCACCAGCTGCTCCTTGGAAACCCTATGGGGGCAGTTCTACTCTGTCCTGTAGGGTCGCTATGAGTTGGAATTGACTCAATGGCAACAGATTTTTAAACAAGGGCTTCGGATTAATTAGAGGAGAGGATTAATTAGGGAGAGGGCCATGGATCCAAACAGAATGGTGACGTCTGTTTATCCCTTAAAGGTCGTTCCATTGGCTGGGCTTTCTTCTCCAGTTACCTGTGGGGCAGTCCATTAGGATGTGTCCTGGGTGTGCGCGCACGCACACGCACACGCACACGCGCACATGCACACCCCCCACTTGCCCAGGTTACAGAACTCCTTAGTGACGGGGAGATAAACACTGTGGAGGGAAAATCCTGGGGAAGAGCTGCGTGGCTGTGGTTGGCGGGGGAACAGTGGTCACCGGAGCTCTCTTGGATGGATTTTCCATCTCTCTAAATTAAGGAGGGAGCACTTCTTGCGGATTGGGTGAGGTGTGCATCTCCCAGAATGGCTGGTCCAAGGGCACGGCTGGGGTTGTGTGGCTCCTGGCACAGGGGTTGTTCATTCTCCCCTTCTTCTCATGGCCTGGCATGGTGCTAGGTGGACCTGGCTCCTGACCTGCTGTATGAAGTCAGCACGGCTCTCACCTCCGCAGGCATGTGTTCCCCCACTGGTGAAATGAGATCAGAGAATGACCCATCTGAGACTATGCCCTCCTTCCCCATTCTGGTTCCCTGAGGAAGGATGAGTTTGCATTGTAGGATTCTGGCCCTGCACCAGGAGGTGACTAATGAGCTTCCTGCCCACAGTAGCCATGTGAACACTTCCTCAGGTACTTGACTTGAAAATAGCCACTCCTGACTTGTATAATGTGTTCATGGGCTTGGGGGAAGCTAGTCTCCAAATCTGCCAACCATATTCTTCCCATGCAGTACCTGAGACTAGCCACTGCCAACAGAGCTTCTTGGCACACAGGCCTTGAATATCTCATTTTCTGACTTTGGCTCCCAAATGCCCTCATGAAACGCTGAGGAGGCTGCGATTCTTTGTTTTTATCCACTAAAAAAACAAAAAAGAAAAGTTTTGTAGAAAGTGTATTGCAGATGAGTCCAGTACAAGGCTAGGGTGTGTCAGGAGGATAATCCGTTGGTACCACTGTTTTGCAGATTGAATCCATTTACTACTTTGTGGTGGGAGACATTCCTGAGGAATCCAAGGAGCTTCTCCTTCAGAGGGTGTTGGAGATCCCATGTCCAGTCTGCACAGTGTCCTTCAATGCCAGAGGAGAAGGCACAATCACTTTTCTAAAGGATCTGAGTGCCAAGAGCCATGGCAGGTAGGCAGAAAACGTGCCGTGCGTGCCAGTGAGTCCCTGCCTGCACAGGATCAACAGTGGGCCCTGGATTCCTTGTGGTCTTTCTAACCCGTTTGTTGCTGTGTTCTTCCCCTCCTTCCAGTACATTCTTTAGTCTCTATGCACCTGCCCTGACTTCTCTGTCTGTGTTGTGAATTTAGGTCAGTTGTAGAAAGAGCCCAGAAACTTACACTGTTCCAAGGAGAATTACCCAGTCCTTTCCTAAGACGGCCTGTCCGAAGGGACACAGTGCTGCCCCTGAAGCTTAGTTCTCAAATGCAGGTGCGCATCACAGTCAACTGGGGAGCTTGTGAATAATACGGAGGTCTGGGCTTTGCCTTGCAGACTGAGTGCATAACAGAGATGAGGACCAGGAATATGCATTTCAGCCCTTCTATTTGCAGAAGACCTGCCTATGGGGCTTGATTAAAATGCAGATTCCACAACCACAGCCCCCAAGATTCTGATTTTCAGGGTCTGAGGAGGGCTGAAGAATCTATTTTTAACAGGATGTTTGGTGATTCTGGGAAACCCTGGTGGCATAGTGGTTAAGAGCTTGGCTGCTAACCAAAAGATCGGCAGTTTGAATCCACCAGCCGCTCCTTGGAAACTCTGTGGGGCAATTTTACTCTGTCCTATACGGTCGCTATGAGTCAGAATTGACTCGACAGCAACGGGTTTTGTTTTTTTTTTTTTGGTGATTCTGAGGACCTTTGCTGGGCTGCTTTTAAAGGACTTTGAAGTCTTTGACCATCAGGTGATTCCCTGCCCGGCTTCGATTCTGGGTTCCTGAGCACCCTCAGGTACAGACGGGGTTCACTTCCCCACCTTTGCTGCTGGAGAGAGAAAAGAGCAACTGGCAAGGCCACCTCTCTTCTGTGCACCTCTGCTTCCCCTGGGCAGCACTTTCTCTGGGCAGGCTAACTTACCCGGGGAGGAATTTGGCACAGTAGGAAGTGCAGTTCTGCCCTTGGCATTTAAGCGGGGCATCGCGGGGTGCCGAGGCTCACAGAGAGGACAGGGTGTACACATGCACCAAGCCCTGGCAACGCGCTGACCCCACAACCGGTGTGCCCCAGACCTCCACTCGCTGCCAGACCCACAGCGGCAGGCGCGCTGTCCGCTCTGGGCCGCAGCCGAAGTGCGGTTATTATTAAACTGTAAACAGCGCGTTCCAAGTCTCAGCTTTCAAAAGGCTGCTCGGCCTAGTGACCCTCCAGCCGGACCCTGGCTCACCTGGTGTCCAGGCCAGGTCCGGGCAGGACCCCAGTCCTCGGGCACAGCGCTGTGTTCTGCGGACTCCCCAAAGAACCTGTCTTAATGGTAGTTTCCTGCACAAGCGAGGCTCTGTCCTCAGCCAGGGTCCATTTCTGCCCTGTTCTCTTTTCTGATCTGAGAGCAGATCAGAGACTGGAAAGTCCTGGGCACCAGGGGCCTTGACACTCACGGTGTGGGGCCTGCCGGGACGAGCCTTGACCACATCCCCTCCTTCCCTGCGCGGAGGTCACAGGAGGGAGGAAGCCAGCCGCTACTGCTATGGACAAAGGTCTGCAGGATGCAGTCGCACGCGGGGAGATCGAGACGCCGCTGGTGTGCTGAGGAGTGGCCGACGTGTTCCTTGCCGTGGAGTCATCGTCCTAGTCTTGTCTCAGTCCTTTAGAAATAGACAGGACTGAGGCCCTCCATGGTCCAGGCGAGAGCCCCAGACCTCTCCACCATGTCTGTCCATCTGTCCGTCTATCCGTCCCAGCCTGGGCTCCTGGATCTGTGTCGAGTGAGTGCCAACAGGGAGCAGTGGAACTCTCGAGCGGCTGGAGGAGTGTGACTCAGAGACTCACCTGCCCATCGGAAAGAAACCCTCTGTTGTTACTGGCTTTCTGGATTCCAGATGATTGGCTTGCTGGGTGCAGCTGAGCCCGTTCCCCCATGCACCACACCACCCGTCTTAAGCTTTAATGTGCACGCAGGCCTGCGGGGATCTTGTTAAAGCACTTGTTCTGATACAGCAGATGTGGGGTGGGGCCTGAGAACTTGCATTCCCCATAGACCACACTTTGAGTAGTGAGACCCTAAAAACTAGCCCATGTACAAATTCTTTTTTTTTTTTGGTTGTAGTTTAAGTGAAAGTTTACAATTCAAGTTAGTCTCTCATACAAAAATTTATACATGCATTGTTATATGACCCCAGTTGCTCTCCCTATACCGACACAGCACACTCCTCCTTTCCACCCTGGATTTCCCGTGTCCATTCAGCCAGCTCCTGACCCTCTCTGCCTTCTCATCTCACTTCCAGACAGGAGCTGCCCCTTTGGTCTCATGTATCTGCTTGAGCTAAGAAGCACATTCTTCACGAGTATCATTTTATGTCCCATAGTCCAGTCTAAAGAGTTGGCCTCGGAAATGGTTTTAGTTCTGGGTTGGCAGAGAGTCTGGGGGCCATACTTTCTGTGGTACCTCCAGCCTCAGACCATTAAGTCTGGTCTTTTTACTAGAATTTGAGTTCTGCACCCCACCTTTCTCCTGCTCCATCGGGGACTCTGTCTTGTGTTCCCTGTTAGGGTGGTCATTGGTGGTAGCTGGGCACCATCTAGTTCTTCAGGTCTCAGTCTGATGAAGTGTGGTTTAGGCGGCCCTTTCTGTCACTTGGGCTAATACTTTCCTTGTGTCTTTGGTGTTCTTCATTCTCCTTTACTCCAGGTGGGTTGGGACCAGTTGATGCATCTTAGATGGACAAATTCTTTTAATTAGCGCTTAAGCTTAGATGCTGGGGCAGCTTGTGTTTGCTGAGTGAAAGCTGTCTGCAGCCCATCAGCAGGCATTAAATTCGCTGTGGTGCCTGGGTTGCAAGTTTTCAACACACTGAGCCCACAGAACTGTTGGACTGCTGGGCCATCTTGTCAGACTCTTGGCTCGTCAAAACTGCATTAACATGCATGAGCCCTGAGAACAAAAGAATACATATAAGCGTATTTTTCTAGGATCAATAAATACCGTTTGGTTGAGCTAATTACTCTGTAATGAAGAGCCATCAGTTCAAATCCCAAACCGCTCCCAATTCCCTCTGCTCTTCTATCTCTCTGCCTCTTGCCTGTGGAGATTGCAAAGGTTCAGGGAAAAGCTGTGAACGCGGCCAGATGCTTGGCACCGCAGAGAGCAAGTTTAGAGACCTGGGGACAGTGACGGACATGCACGGATAGCAGTTTAGTGGCCTAACGTTGAAAATGGCTTAATGTTCCAGATTCCACGCATTCGCCGAGAGAACGGAGTGTGTGCAGTTTCCCGCGCCGACCACGAAGGATGGCGGAAGTGGAATTACTTGGAATTCAAGACGACTGAAAGGAAAACCCCCTCCAGGTACCTGGACGCGGGAAGAACCGCGCAGCTTGTGTCCTTAGTAACTTCCGATGGTCCGTGTCCTTAGGAAATGAAGTACTAGGTGGGGACTAAGGGTGCCTTTTGCATTATTTGCATGGTAGGAGGGAATAGTTAATGGGTGTTAATTGTGAATCTGTCAGCCTAGCAAGCAGGGAAGTGGCCTAAGTGATATGTACTTACTAACTTGGAAACCTTCTGGAAGTGTGACCCCAAGCAAGTCAGGGTGGCCTTTGTTCCTGGTAAGGGAGAGCTGCCCTGCTCTGTTGGTTGGCTGGAGGGCTGCAGTGAGGATGCCTGCTGGTCTATTTAGTGGGACTTTTTGCTGCCCTCCTCCCTCAGAGAAAGCAGTACTTGGGAGGTTGATGTGTCCCTTGTGAGGGCCAAGGCCACAGAAGCATCTTTATCGAGGCTGAATGAACTTCATCTGTCACCCAAGCAATGTAATCAGAGAGTTTAACGGGCACAGAGAATGAGATCACAAAGTCAGTGAGAAGTAGGGCTGTGATTCCTATAATCAGGCGCAGAAGGTTATGAAGAACACCAAGAAATCAATTTCTTTTGGGCCAATGGAATTGCAAAGAGCCAAAGACCCTGAATAAACACCACCCAGAAAAGGCAGGAAGGGAGCTCCTGCTACATGTTGTGGCACAGTGGGATAGATAGAAGTCTTAGAAAATCCATCCCCACCTCCATCCTCCTGTTCATTTTATGTATCAGGCGGAAAGATTTCTAGCTTCAACGCAAGACAGGAACAACTCTTAGGGAATAGGGGCATATTCATCTGTTTAAAAGATTCCTCTGGTTACGTAAGTGGAGTTGTCACAGCTCCCAGAAGGGCATATGTAGGAGGCAGCTGGGTCCCAGGCGAAGTTGTCAGGTGGAGACAAAGGCAGATGGTAGAGTCACAAAGCCTGTTGCGGACACACTTTGTGGATTCGGATTCTTCATGCCCCAGAACAGAGCAAGGGGACAGGTTCTAACAGAGCTAACTGAGAGTGCTGCTGTAGGTAACTCATACCTTTGTTGAAGCAGACATCTCCAGAGAATTGGAGACAATGTCAGTTGATTACCAAGGTTGATAGGAGTCTAAGAAAAAAAATGAATTCAGTATATATGCCATGCCTATTTAAAGTAATTTACAAGGTTAATTAATATCATAATGCAAGTAAAATTTTGCTGAAGATCATTCAAAAACAATTATAGCAGTACATAGACAGGGAACTGCCAGAAATTCAAGCTGGATTTGGAAGAGGACCTGGAACCAAGGATATCGTTGCTGATGCCAGATGTATCCTGGCTGAAAGCAGAGAATATCAGAAAGATGTTTACCTGTGTTTTGTTGACTATGCAGAAGCATTCGACTGTGTGGATCATAACAATTATAGATAACATTTCAAAGAATGGGAATTAACTCCAGAACACTTGATTGTATTCATGAGGAACCCGTACATAGACCAAGAGACAGCTGTTCGAACAGAACAAGGGACTACTCCGTGGCTTAAAACTGGGAAAAGTGTGCATCAGGATTGTAGCCTTCCACCATAGTTATGCAGTCTGTATGCTGAGCAAACAGTCCGAGAAGCTGGACTGTATGAAGAAGAACGCTGCGGCATTAGGATTGGAGGAAGACTCATTAACAACCTTTGATATGCAGATGACACAGCCTTGCTTGCTGAAAGCAAGGAGGTCTTGAAGCACTTACTGATGAGGATGAGAGACTGCAGCCTTCAGTATGGATTACACCTCAAGATAACAAAAACAAAAATCCTCACAACTGGACCAATAAGCAGCATCATGATAAGTGGAGAAAACGTTGAGATTGTCAAGGATTTCAGTTTACTTGGATCCACAGTCAATGCCCATGGAAGCAGCAGTCAAGAAATCAAATGATGTATATTGCATTGGGCAAATCTGCTGCAAAAGACCTCTTTAAAGTGTTGAAAAGCAAAGACGTCACCTTGAAGACTAAGGTGCCCCTGACCCAAGCCGTGGTATTTTCAGTCACCTCACATGCATGTGAAAGGTGAACAATGAATAAGGAAGACTGAATTATGGGGTTGGCGAAGAATATCAAATATACCATGGACTGCCACAAGAACGAACAAATTTGTCTCAGAAGAAGTACGGCCAGAATGCTCCCTAGAAGCGAGGATGGTATGACTTCATCTAACATACTTTGGACGTATTATCAGGAAGGTTCAGTCCCTGGAGAAGGGCATCATACTTGGTAAAGTAGAGGGTCAGTGAAAAAGAGAAAGACCCTCAACAAGATGGATTGGCACAGTGACTGCAACAGTGGGCTCAAACACAGCAACGATTGCGAGGATGGCGCGGGACGGGGCTGTGCTTCACTCTGCTGTGCATAGGGTCACTATTAAGTTGGAACTGATTTGAGGGCAGCTAGCAACAAGGTTAAACCTAGTGGACAGTGATTCAGTTAGGGTAAAAATAGGAAGTGTGAGCTGTCACCAGCTCCCCAAGGTGTGCCAGTTACTGTTAATGGGGTTTAATTTTGGCCTAGTGTTTCTTGGCATCGTAGGTAGAAAGGAAACATATCTGGTTGCGTTGCTTCCATTTTCAGCAACTACCACCTTCCTAGCCCTGCGAAGCATACCAGTTAAATTACAGATCAAAACGTTTTCCTGAGAATGAAATGCTTGGAGCATGGTTTGCCATTCTAACGTCATTTCAGTGATCACATGTTCTGAGTTTTTGGAGAGAGCCCCAAATCCTAAATATGTGGTCTTGCCTCTTCTATCCATCACAAGGCCCCAGAAATGCCAATGTTTCGAAGCCTACCTCTCCCACTCAAAAACTGCCCAGAAATCCTTGACAGACTATTTTGGTTTGGAAAATTTGTGGTTTCCAACCTCCCCTGGGCCTCTGAGGCAGTTCTTTAAACTTGCTCCTGATCAGTTCCCTCTCCCAGTCGCTTCATCAGCTGTGTCAAGCACTTAGCAGTGTCCTTTCCTCGGGCCTCCCCTAGGTGCCGCCCCTCCCCCAGCTCCCCTTAGGAGCTAAGTCCGTGCCTCCTGTTGTACAGGAAGTAGAGACTGTCATTGGGGGGTTGGAGGATGACTGATCAGAGAAAGAACCTACAAATCTGAAAGAAGTTGTCTTTTGGATGCGAGATAATTGACTTTCAGGGTACTGCTTAGTCCATTATCCCATGTACTAAAATGAAACCGAAAAACCAAACCTGTTGCAGTCTAGTTGATTCTGACTCATAGCGACCCTACGGGACAGAGGAGAGCTGCCCCATAGGGTTTCCAGGGAGTGGCTGGTGGATTCCAACTGCTGACCATTTGGTGAGCAGCCATAGCTCATCTTTATTATCATTTTTATTTTTTTTTATTGTACTTCAGATGAAGGTTTACAAAACAAATAGTTTCTCATTAAACAGTTGGTAACATATTGTTTTATGACAGTGGTTAACAACCACACAGCATGTCAGCACTGTCCCTTCTCAACCTTGGGTTCCCTATTAGCAGCTTTCCTGTCCCCTCCTGCCTTCTAGTGCTTGTCCCTGGACTGTTGTGCCATTGGTCTCGTTTTGTTTTATGGGGCTGTCTAATCTTTGGCTGAATGGTGAACCTCGGGAGTGATTTCATTACTGAGCCAAAAGGGGCCATACTCTTGGGGTTTCTCCAGTCTCTGTCAGGCCAGTAAGTCTGGTCTTTTTTTGTGAGTTAGAATTTTGTTCTACATTTTTCTCCAGCTCTGTCCGGGACCCTCTGTTGTGATCCCGGTTAGTGTAGTCTGTGGTGGTAGCCAGGCACAATCTAGTTGTACCGGACTCAGTCTCGTGAAGGCTGTGGTAGTTGTGATCCATTAGTCCTTTGGACTAATCTTTTCCTTGTATCTTGTTTTCTTCATTCTCCCTTGCTCCCGAAGGGATGAGACCAGTGGAGTATCTTAGATGGCTGCTCACAGGCTTATAAGACCACAGACGCTACTCACCAAGGTAGAATGTAGAACATTTTCTTTATAAAGTGTGTTATGCCAATTAAGCTAGATGTTCCCCGAGACCATGGTCCCCACAGCCCTCCACCCAGCAATTCAGTCCCTCAGGGAGTTTGGATGTGTCTGTGGAGCTTCCATGACCTTTCCTTGTACAAGTTGTGCTGGCTTCCCTAGTATTGTGTATCATCTTACCCTTCACCAAAGTTACCACTTATCTATTGTCTATTTAGTATTCTCCCCCACCCCTCCCATCCCTTGTAACCAACAAAGATTAAAAAAAAAAAAAAAAAAACCAAACACGTTGCCATCGAGTCGATTCCGATTCATAGTGACCCTATAGGACAGAGTAGAACTGCCTCATAGGGTTTCCAAGGAACAGCTGGTGGATTTGAACTGCTGACCTTTTGCTTAGCAGCCAAACTCTTAACCACCGAGCCAGCAGGGCATTGAATGATGGGAAGGCAGAGAGGAGTAAGGCACTGTCCTGTGTTCAAAGAACTCAAATTTAGTAAAATCAAGACTCTGGGCTCTGGAGTTAGACCTCGGTAAAGACTTGTCATTATTAGCTGTGTGATTTTGGTCAAGGTGATTGATCTGAGCTTTATCTTTCTTATTAAATAAGATAATGATATTTAGCTTATGAACTGTTAGGAATATAAATGTATGTATGTGTGTAAAAAATGTTTTCTGCGGTACCCAACACATAGTTAAGCTGTCAATAAATTATAGCTGTTATTATAGCCATAAGCATCCTCATCCTGTGGGTTACTCTGTTAATATAATTACCACCAGGTAAGCAACTTAAACCACCTATCTGTCAATTTATCATACTGTGGTGGCTTGGGTGTTGCCACGATGCTGGAAGCTATGCCACCAGTATTTCGAATACCAACAGGGTCACCCATGGTGGACAGGTTTCAGTGGAGCTTCCAGACTAAGACAGGCCAGGAAGAGAGGCCTGATGATCTACTTCTGAAAATTAGCCAGTGAGAACCTTATGGATCACAACAGAATAT